CCGCCTTCTACTTCTAGTTTACTTTATTCTCTTTTGTCTCTTTATCCTCCTGTAACGGCCGGTTCTACCAACGCGAGAGGAACGCGCGGCCGATCGTAGAATCGCAAAGTGTGCGACCGGCAGTCCAGCCGCACCGGTGCCGGTTTCCGTTCAAGAAATCCATTTCGGCGAGGAAACGACTAGCGGAACCAAACACTAAGAAGAAGAAGAAGAAGAAGAAGAAGAAGAATTGGTAAGTTTGCTTGTGCCGCGTGAGCACACAGCCAACAGGTGAACCAACCCAGGCACTCGTAGTGTTTTTGTGACGACGATAGATGTATAAACACAGTGTGATGATGCGAAAATCGATGAGAACGGCAAAAGAGGAGACGACGATCGAAACGAGCTCAGTGTTGTTGTGTGACCTAAAGATAAAGCTAACAAGCCGAGAGAGTTTTACTGTGGTACTTTCAATGATGGATAGCGATAGATCGCTATACCTCGCCAATGTCTAATGCATCTCGCAATGGACTTCATGTGTGTTCGATCGGATCGTATGTTCTTGATCGGTGCAAAGTGACAAAAGTCGAACGGGGGGTCTTTGGACTTTGGACTTTGGAGAGTCGAGGAAATTTCGTTTTCAGCAAAGTCGATTGCCAAGTCGAAATTGTGAAAGATTCGATCGACTTGTTCCAGGAATATTCCACGCAGTTTATTGTTTGAAGATTAGGATCGTATAGAGAACTTGATAAGTTAGTACGTACAAGAGGAATAAATTTAGGAACGTTTTCTGTGCGCGTGTCAGAAATGTTGAAACATGATCAATCCGTCATGTTTTACGCTCGATTTCACGTTGTCAGAACGTGAAATTTAGTAATACATATATATATATATATATAAATAATCGATGTCTAGCGAATGTTGGTTACTTGAAAGTGTATCACTAGCTGAAGTAGCCAGCCAAGCTAACATAGTTATGTTACTTCATCGGACGTGCCGATGTGAGGCTCACGTTACATACAAACACGACCTCTACTTGTTTGCCAACAAACGTACTACATTTCCTATCTTTATAGTCCGTCCATCGTGTTGCATCTTATCTTCAAATAGAAACGGTTCCGCCACGCCGCCAACCATTCCGAATATTATATCATCGTTAGTCTATTGCCTAACGTCTCTCTTATATTACCATTAACGTTTCAGTTCACTTCAGTTGAAATAATTCATTTTCTTTCTGCTTCGTTATAAACACGAGTTTCAATGATTGAAAAATTCCAGTTAGTTCACTCTTTTCTCATTTCAACAAATTACTTAAAAATAGAGGTCAGAGACTCGTGAGGAAATCGTAGTTGGCAACGATTGGAGAGAGAGAGAGAGAAAAAAAAAAAAAAAGTATAATAGGAATAGGATTTGGTAGAGCAGGGACACCAGAGGGGTAGCTGGTGAGAGAGACGGAGATGAACGCAATGACGAAAGATGGGGGAGGGGTAGAGAAATAAGAGTGGCTGCTGGCCATCTCTGCCAAAATAATTAGGAAGTCGCGTCGTCATAGACGTGCTAAAATGGTCCGCTGGGGCACGCGCGATTTGGTGGCCGGCTAGTCGCGTCCCGGGCGTTCGAGCGAGCTGATCGTCCCGAACGGTGTGTTTCGGGCCGGTTCCCAAGTGTCCCGCAGTCCCAATCATTTTGGCGCGCGATTTTCCCTCTAGTTTCCAATCTGATTATGATCGATACTCGTTCGGATTTCTTCTTATCACGGGACGACGATTCAACGCGTTAACGTGTCGAAAGGCTTGGTTGGTCGGCAGGATTTGAATATTTTTTTTTTTTTAATGAAAAAAAGTAGAGTAGAGAGAGAGAGAGAGAGAGAGAGATTTTTTTCTCCCCACCCCCCTTTTATAATATGATGATAGGAACTCGTGGTAAATAGGGTTCCGGAGAAGTTGTGAAGTTGCCACTGGCCGTAACCCTGTTCCTAGCTGCTGCTCTTCCATTCACGCTTAAGTTTAGCACTAACCTTGGCTTCGGCGTTTGCTACACTGGTTGTGCGTGACCTCTGTACACCGAATTTTAAATTCTGCCGCCGATACTTTGAACATGCAACGATCCAATGACGTCATCGATGCAAGTTTCGCCTATATTCGATACTAACGCGTATCGTTTGAATATTCACGAAGTAACGAGATTATTTTTCAAATTTGTTCCGTTTTGTTCCGTTTTGGCATGTATACGTGTTTTAGAAATTTTAGATTATTATCGTCGAGTTCAGTGGTTCGTGCATGCCCTTTCTTCTTTCCAACGTTTATTTGAATTAATAAAATGTTGAGCAAAAGTAAAATGTTTTACTACGCTGAAGTTTTTGTTTAACGATTAACATTACTACCACCCGATGAATTACAATTACAAGAATGAAACTATATAAAAATTCGATTTTAGGCACACACGTGGATATCGCAAACTGCGATTATATAACGTTCATTTCACTCGGTAAAAAGAACGGAACGAGCAATAATAATCTTGTTTCAATAATCATTTGTCAAATCGGATAAATAGACGAGGAATATTTAAATAATATAAAGAAAGAGGATCTACATCTTCGAGTCATCGGGCCTTTGTTACGTAATGAGTTTGAAAAAATTCTCTACGATCTGCAGACTGCCGCCGGTTGCTTTTAGGTTACGTAACGAAACGATCGTTCGATCGTTGAAATTTCCAATTTGACGGGCAACATATCGTCACGGAAGAATCCATCGGTCGCGTAATTGCCGAAATGAAATTATAAGGGCAACATAATGTTATTATATAACGACAATACACAGCGATGTCCTTTGAACGTCTTAAAATACGCGCCAAGGAAATAGACTAGCAGAAGACTGAAAATAGCCGAGTGCGTCATCACGAGCGACGAACGCCGTCCAGCCAATGGCGTCGCTCCACATGCTCAATTCGTTCGACTCGCACGCATTTTCATAGTGGTACGATGCGCCGCGCTGCGACGCGGTTTTTGGGAAACTCGTCAACGAGTGAACGGATTGTGCCTGCGAGGACGTGGCAGCCTCGAAAGTACAGGGACATCCACGTCGCGTAATCGTAACGCGTAAAAAGGATCGTCAATTCGCCGAATATACACGAGTAAGTTGGGATTGTAGACGGCGCGCGGGCAAAACTACGTTGCAACTTGTTAATGGCGCATTCCACGAGGTGGCGCACGTGTGCAATGATTTGCCGTTCGCCGTGTCAGTCTTACGGAAGAGGAGGTTTGCTTAGCATTTAGGGGAAATATACCGTTGAGAAAATGACGTACGCCTTGAGTTTCTGTGCCCGCGTGTCGTGATACGTCGTCGACCGGCCGTAGAACTTTTCATTTCAGTGTCCCGCAAGTTTGTTCGTGCCAGTTCGTTTCGTTTCGTTTCGTTTCTTTTTTTTTCCCTCTTGTTCGTCTTTCTCTTCCTTTCCCTCTCCCCTCAATCTCTCGTTCCCCC